GATTTTAGATTGTTTACTTTTAATTTATTTACATAGTAGATCTGAAAAGTACTGGAATTTACTATAGTGGGCACATTACATTTGAGTTCCAGGCTTATCACAAGCAGATTTGAGCAGCTTCACCAAGTATATTTTGGAAAGTATGTTATATGGACATATGTGTATATGTGACCGCAGTTGATGAATGATGCTGAAGAGTGATCAAAAATACAAATGAAATTGATTTAGTTTGGAATATTGAATCAAGATATACATACATGACAACTTGACTAAAACCATTAAAAAAAACTCAATAGTTTAATGTTGCTACAGTTAACCATCAGAATTATTTTACTGGATGTCTTTGTTTTCATCATATCTCGTGCAGTGAATGGCAACCAAACATTTTCAAATGTGACATTTCATGTTAGTAGCAGATCTCTGGAGGAGGTGAACATGTGCAGTGACTTTACAAGAGGAAACAATGATGAAGGAAACAAGGAGGAAGCAATAAAAGAAGAAAAAAAAACATTTCTTTCTTAACTGCAAGTTCAACTGCATGCTTAGCTAAAGTTCATTTTAGTAGTACAAATAACAAAGAGCACGCCATTGTCAGATCACCAGGACAAGACTAATTGCCTGTTTAAATTGCAGGGAGTCTATTAAAGGTGCCGGTCATGGCAAATGTCTAGTTTTTGGAAGACCTGTCAGAGAATATTTATGACACCACTTCACGTAAATTATGTTTGACGCTAATGCTGTCCTCCCGCTGTGTCTCTAGTGGTGGTCTGAAGGATTTTACACAAGCACAGAAATCAAGTATGCCTGTCAAAGTGTGGGTTATTTTCAGCAGAGATCCATCAACAAGCAAAAAAGAACAGTCCATGACAAGGACATGTACAAGGCTTTGAAAAATAACATGCACGTTCTTCTAAGCGTAGATGCGTTTGTACATTTTTCGATCTTACTGTTTTCTTCCAGCGCTTCCCTCCAAATACACAGGCTGTTCTCTTACCTTGAACTGTGATTCAATGTGACAGTGAATGTCTGCACGGAGTATGACTCATGATCCCAAATGAATACAGGACCAAACCTAGAAACAGTTCACTTTCCCTCATGGCAAGAATTTGATTTATTCTGAGATTTAGATTTCCCTCAAAACTAATTTGACTTTATACAAGCTTTATGCATCATCAAGGGTTGTGAAGGATACACCATTTTCAGTAGATTGACTGATGATGCTGTTGATGGCAAGATATTTTATGCGTAATATATTTCAATTGTCTTGAAATGCACCTTATTTTCTTTTTCTGTTAATAAAAGAAATGTGTACTTTTATTCAGCAAAGAAGCATTAAATTGATCAAAAGTGACTTTAAAGACTTTTATAATGTTACAAAAGATGTGTATTTCAGATAAATGCTGTTCTTTTGAACTTCCTGTTCATCAAAGAATCCTATAATAACATGTATCATGGTATCCATAAAAAACTATTAAGCAGCACAACTGTTTTCAGGATTTATAATAAGAAATGTTTCTTGAGCACTAAATCAGTCAATAAGACAGATTTCTGAAGGATTGTGTGACACTTAAGACAGGAATAATGGCTGCTGAAAATTCAACTTCGCCATCACAGGAATAAATGACACTTTAAAATATATCCAAATAAAAAACGTATTTTAAATTGTAATAATATTTCACAATATTACTGATTTTACTGTATTTTTTATTAAATAAGTGCAGCTTTGGGGAGCATAGGAGACTTCTTTTAAAAACATTAAAAAAACATCTTAGACCAAAGTTTTGAAATATTTGTGTATACATTAATGTGGAAAAGTCAAAATCATTGATCTGGAAATCAATTAGATTTGTTTTGAAGTTCAAAGCAGCGTATTGTCCATGTTCTCCTTCTCCACCTTTTCTTCCCTTCATGTTTCTTTATCATCCACACTTCTCCTTCACCAGCAGCATTAGTCCTGTCAGCTAATCAGTGGCATTAAATGAGCCATCCGATTAAGTTAGTATCAATAGTGAAACGTTTGGCAACCGAAGCGCAGAAGCGCAGCGTGCCACACAATCCTCCAAATTAGCTTTATTAGTTACATAATGTTCCTCTGAGGCCTCTGACATTTCACTCTCCACAAGAGGATTTACTTAATGAGTTGGCTGTTTCTGGTGCTCGCTCCACCAACTCCGCTGATGACCTCTGCCGAGTTTGACTCCACTTTGGAGTCGCCGTCATTGTCTGATTGCGTATTCTAATTAACAGGCTCGACTCTTCTGAATGAATGGCATGTATTAGGTATTCAATTATGATTTAAAAATAATCATGGCTTTTTGGTATTTTTGTAAGCTAAGCTTTGTTAGCTAAGATGAGGGTGTTTTGGTAATAATCAAGCAAATTTTGAACAGTATAATAAAAGACTGCCTTTCTTGTGATTTTACCATCTTTCATGTTAGAGTGAGTTTGGAAACTGTATTAATAATTTTAGGATAGGACAAGATTGATAAACAAACACAAGCGGAAACACCATGTAAAATGATGACATCTCAGTATTTTTATTTTATTGTTTTATTTTTTCTTCCTTTTATTATGTACTGATTGTGGGTGGATTAACAAGCATTTCAAAAACACACATTTATTCACTTATTGACATGCTGCTTTGTCTAATAAACGGACTATAAACAAATATTTAAGTATTTAATATTTCATTTAAAATGTCCACTTTGAAAAACACAATCCGTCATGTTCACTGTCATTATGTTTAAATTTAAAAGGCTGTTTGTAGGATGTTGTTCCTCAGACCTTCGTCTAGAGCCTCATCCTGCCATGATACCTCGCTGTGATGTGTTGGAAACATGACGCCTGGCATAATGATCAGCGGTAGCCCACTTCCCCCACCCTGCCCAGCCTTCCCTCCCGCTTTCATTTAAACCTCTCGAGCTGAAACACCTCTGTTCTGCTCCGTTCTGTCAAGTCAGAAACAAAAATGTGAGCTCAGCAGGAGCTCCAGAGAAGAGTTCTGTTCACTTCTGTTTTTTAATTAGTTCTATGGGGGGAGTCTTTAGTGCTGTATGTTTGTGTTGAGAAATAGTTTTTGATCTGACATTTTGCACACTAAATCGGCTGCCAGCAGCAATATGCTTTCTCTCAACCTAACTGAGATGTTCACAGTATGTTAACAGTGAGTTAAAAGAAAGTGACATAGTCACTTTAAACGTAACCCTGTGACCTTGACCTTGTTCTTAAGTGAATTTCATGTAACTGTGTTGTGTGAGAATGATTGCTTCTGACAGTGTCAGAGTGGTTTAGGCCACAGCTCTCTACCTGGTTGATTTTTGCAAATATTTCCACACCTGTGATGCTGTCTTGTCATGTCTTATATCTACAGCAGTTCAAATAGCTTCTCCGTGAGCTGACATCAATCTCTGGCTGGTTTACGTCACATTAGCTGCCACACTTGAAACATTGTCATCTTAAAAACTGATTTGACACCGTCCTCACCAAAGTCTGCTCACATTTTTAACATGCCGCTGCGATCAGGATCAAATTGAACATTCTTGTTCATTTCTTTTTGTAAGGTTGATAGTCTGAGTGTGTTTATCTGTTTGTCTCTTTCTGTCATTTCATATCATAGCAGTCTTTAAGGCTATGTCTGTATTAATCCGGATACATTAAAAAACAGCATTTTCATTTCACCGTCCACCGTCTCTCCGTCGACATTAGCATGATAAAGCATTTTCCAAAAGTTTCTCATCCACACCGAAACATCGGAAAACGTTAAAATCTTCTTACAGTGCATGTGTACATAATAAAAGCTCACTGAGATGATACAGAGAGACCAGACATAATACATTTCACACGCTGTTCTTCTGGCATGATCATTTTATTAGCAAAATGTCTCACCACTTACTGGTGCTTCCAGGTTGCACTCAATCGTCATTCCATGTATGGTCTAAAACGCAATTGCCTTCATGTTTTGCCGCAGAGCAGCAATTTGTAAATAAATTGTCTGTCATCTTTGCAGCAATGTTATATGAATATTGTACAAAGTAACATATATCTTTAGCAACACTTTGAAAGTGAATAGCACATAACAGGTGCATAATGGTAAAAACATAGATATCTATCGGTACAGTATGCGTTGCATGACTAAACATGCATCATTGTATTCAAATACCTCCATTTTCACAGTCCACATTACAATGCGAATACAGCATTTTAAAATTATCCACTTGGGAGAGCATCTCTTCAAAAAGCTCTGTTTTCACAAGGACAAAAATGCCATCTCATTGTGGATGGAAGGCCAAAATGTAGAGAAAAAGATGTGTTTTTCAATGTATCCAGAATAGTGTAAATGTAGCCTTAGTTTGTTACATTCTGCAAAAACACAATGGCATAAACATTTCAGAATGGCTGTTCAAAAACTGGTGTTTTGAAGCATTTATTATAAGTTTGTAAATGTCAGAACTACACTAGCAATAGTATTCTTCCCAGTGCAGCTGTTTGGCTGATTTATGAAAAGTTTCATTTTTTGCTGACTCCCAGTTCAGTCCAAAAACAGTCAACATGCGCATGAGATCACTAACAATCAGAGGCCAAAAACAGGCCATTCTGAACATTTGTATTTATTTTGTGCTTGCTGTGAATATTTCGAAGCCAAGTGTCATGTTTTCATATTTATGGCATCTTAACACAGATTTGGAGTTGAAAAGTCATGGGAATGTTTATGAACCATATCTTAACATTTAACCAAACAGTTCAAACCAATTCCAGTGTAAGAAAGATAATTAGTTGAAAAGAAATGTCCATTTATTTTACTAAAAATATTATGTGTCAGAAATACACACAACAATACACAGTGGGTTATAAGTTTTTGTTGCCTCTCGGTTCTAAATCTAATAATCTGAGTCTATGTAGATGGATATGCTTGTATGACGCCATATGTTTCTGTGTGTGACTCAGTAATTAAACAGAGTGATGACCTTTCTCTCTCTTTCTTGCTCCTTTTCTCCATTCAGATCCGGTGATTATGGGTCAACCTACACCAAGCTCAACCTGATGCCTGGGACAACCATCATAGTCACAAACTTCTGCATCTGTCCCACCAATAAGAAAAAGGTGAGAGACTTTACTAAATCCTTTTACATTTCTTTATTATCACAAAAAAAGCATGCCATGTTTTTCATAGGAAGGTTTAGGTGGTAAAGCAAATTGTTGATTTTATAAAGAATCATATTATAAAAAATACTCACTTCCCCCTTTTACTGCCATTTTAGTATCACGATGGATGCATATAATTGTGATATTAATTGTTATTTTCACCACATACCTGTATGTTAATGAATATGTGAGTATGGTAATTATTTATCATGCACAGGCTCACTGAAATTAACACTCAATTATAAATTATTAGCAATGGTGCATGTTTAAGTACAGATCAGGGATTCACATGACTAATAAAATTGTGCTTATGAGACCCATATGGTTCTTCTCACTTGATATTAGAATGCATTCATATACAGCTAATAAATATGTCCCATGAGTGTGTGTGAGTATAATTAAACGTGAGGAGTTTAAGGTCATGTGAATTTTTTTCCCTTCACTTATGGAGATTGATGGTAATGATCACCCTAAAGCAACTATGACATGTCCAAGCGTGTCAAAGTCATCCTAATGAAGTTTACAGGGATCTCCTTCTCATTAGTAATCTCCTCACAACCTCTTAAACATGAACACACATCACAGCTGAATAAGTGCTAGCTGTCTATAATAGGCGATTTAGCAGAGACACATCAAAACTTGTCTGCTGTCTTCAGCTCTTGATACAATGCACAATATTAATAAATCGTAGGAAAATAACAGTTTCTCAAAATTATATGCAGTACGTTTGAGGACATAGCTGTGTTTTGATGTTTGTGGCTGCAAAGCAAATTGCACAGGAAGTGTTGACCTTAGGAGAAAAAAGAGAAAAGTTCACAGTCACTCCTGATGGCGTAACAGTCAAACCCCTTTCCCATGTCAGACTCCTTTATCTTCAAATCTCGAATGACCGTACCTTGATTGTCGACACAAAGAGTGTTTTGAACAGGGCAGGACAATGCTTACACTTTCTGCTGTATGTGGGAAAAAGTGGCTTTCATGAAAACATACACTTCCAGGCTTCTAGGGAACAACCCTTGAGTGTCCTCATTGATGGCGCTGCCGTCTGGGGCACTTGTAGTGAGCCGCAGGAAAAGCATCTATTTGCTGAGCTGGCAACATATTTCAACTCTGACTCACAGAAATGATGTTCATGCTGCTGGATGGTGGTTGTCATATTATGATGCTATTCATCATAATCACACCTCTCTGCTTGTATTTATCTATACACACAAAAATGTTGTGTGCTATTTTGCCAAGGTATAAGTATATACACCTATGAGTATAATAAAAAAAAAAGCTATTTGGTTGGGTGTAGTGTTGGGAGATATGTTATTCATAATCATAAGATATTGACAAGATATATATTGACATTTTTGACAAAATTTTGATGGCAGTGAAAAATTAAGCAGCCTTGATTTTAAAGGTGCTGTATGTAATTTTTTGACTACTTAAAGCTGCCGTTCGTAAGTTTTGCCTCTTTGTTGCCATCTCTGTTTGAAATTTGCAATTGCAGTTATTTGCGGAATTATTTTCTTTACGTGGGTTGTGCATTGGCACGGCTCCTCAGCGCGGATTAATCTAATGTTTTGAGGTGTATGTGTGGGCCTCAGTCAACGCACCAATGTGGATATTCACTGTACTTTGGAATTACAGATACAGGGCCATCCTTAGCTGACGCAGGGCCCGGTGCAAGGTAGGTAGCGGGGCCCCCCTCAGTCCGTTCGCCGCGGAGCCCCCTCAAGCACAGTTGCACCCCCTTAAGGATGGCCCTGTACAGATACTACATCTTGGAAGTATGTCCAGAATAAGAACTTTCACACAAAAATGTCATTTGAACAAGTAAGTAACATGTCTTCCAGTTTTGTTCTGACCAACTGAAAATAAAGTTTTACAATAAATTGCGCTACCAATGCTGATTAAATCTAACGATCGCAGAGTTAGCTAAGATCACTTCAAACCGTTCAAATTATAATTATTGTTATACTTTGTTCTCAAATCGTTAATGTTAACAACATCAACATTGCGTGACTAAATGTATTTAGTGTGTATTAGCGTTATCTGTAGATTTAATCTCTAATTGTCATACCATTCGAATGTATTTGAAAGAAACTGGGTCAGATATAGGAGATTCTACCTGACCTAAAAAGCTTTGGCATCCATTCCTAAACGTTTTATGGCAAGAGAAATATTAAAATATAAATCAACGAGATAAATCAACTGTTCAACAGTGTGTATAAGGCCATGTGGCTGACTCGAAGACCTGGTGGGCAAAACATCCATAGAACTGCAGCACAAGCCTGTCAATTTTCTATCTGTTGTTCCAATCCAAAAATATTTAGATCACCTCTCAAAAGAATACAACAAAGATATGTGAACAAAATGCAAGTTTTGGCCATTAGCAATCCATATAAAGCGCAATATTTTAATCGCTAAATACAGCAGTACATGTTTAATGTGAAAACACTTAAAGCGGTGATGATGCATGCTTTATACAGGCAAGCAGATGAGCTCGGAATATGAACGCAATGCGCTAAATGGTTAAGTGTTTTCTTTATAATGGTTTTCTATGGGAAAACATTTAATACTAAAATTTGCGCATTGTGTTTGTATTCTGGGTTTATCTGCTTGCCTGTACAAAGTATGCATCATCAATAAAGTGTATACTGAATTTGGCCTTTAAAATATCACTGTTTTACTACATTACTACTTAATGCAAACCTCATAAAAATAACTGGTGGTCAGTGGAGGAAAGCCTTGTATTGCGCTTCATGTGGGCGTTCCTGTAAGGGTGTGACGTCACGTGAAAACTGTGAATTGTCAATTGCGCGCGTTCCTGTTGCGTGTCCACAATCTGGCAACCTGCATGAGCGTCCTGTCTGAGGTGGAAGGGGTGGGAGAAACAATAGTTTGAATTTGAACTGCAGTACCCATTTCAACCGCTAGCTGTCAATATTATATACTGCCCTTTTAAAGGCTGTGTGATTAGACTTTCACAATCCATTCTTTTCCTAGTGCCTTCTGAATATGTACACACACAAACACACACACACACACACACACACACACACACATACATAGTGTTTACACAGTGTGATTTGTTAAAAAAGAAGAGTGTCATAATTTAATGTAGAAAATTAGACATTATTTAGACTGTGTAGTAAAATTCATATAAAATGAATGGTACAAACACTAATTTTTAAACAGTTTTTTCATATTTTTAATTGTTTAAACAAAAAATAACTAAATTAAATAAATGGTCAACAATTAACTTATTGACTAGAAATTTGTTCATTCAATTTACAGGCTCCATGAGGTATTAAGGAAAGCTCTCAAATATTTTGAACACATCTCAAAAATGTTAGTTTTCAAACAGTTTTCCCAAACACTCCCCCAGTCTTCCATTGGTCAGCCAAGCAGATAGTCCCGCACCAAACTTACACCATTTGTTGAGTCAGTGTTGCATGCTGTGTCTGGATGCTCAAACAAACAAGAGCAATGTCTGATAACACCATAGAGCCACAGTGTTTACACTTCATCTTTATTGCTCAGCCCTATCTGAGTATGTATTTATAAATCAAAATGTGTGTCAAGGTGTCACATGTATGTTCTATGCATTGTTTGATTTTTGTCTTCAGTGCCTTGCTTGACCTAATTTTCCAGTGCATGCGTTTGATTATTCTATTCAGTTCACCTGTTGTCTATTAATTAGCCTATTAGTCTTCATTTGGTTTAGTATTTATAGTCCCATGTTTCCTGAGTTCATTGTCCTGTCTGAACGTTGTGTTTGGAAGCATTGTTAGCCTGTTTCTCTGTATTTCTGTATTGCGCAGTGTTGCCAATTTAGCTACTTTGTAGCTAGATTTAGCGACTTCCCCGCCCCTTTTGAGACTTTTTTCAAAAGTTTAGGGACAAATATAGCAACTTATTGGACAGACCATATCTAAGTTCTCATCTTGCTCACTGATCAACATTCATCTTTATATAGATCAGTGAATTTGCCATTATGATGTCATCTAGTGACATTTAACTACCAGTTTTAGCTACTTTCAATTGAAAGCAGTTGGCAACACTGGTATTGCGTTATTTGGATTAAAGACTATTTTTCTTGTTATTTCGTCTTCGTGAGTACTCTGTTTAGCACATTCCATGACACAAGGTTTGTGAGACAGAGAGAGAGTGATGGTGAATCCACTCCTACATCTCACAGGTCACCGTACAACTACAAAATGTCAATCAGTGTGGGGGTAGACAGCGTCCCAGCGTAGAGGAGAGGGATCAAACACCACTGATCCAAAACCAAAGCGTCTGGCCCCCTCATTTCTACAGCGCTGAGCTCAACCGAGCGTGAATGAGAGCAAGAGACACAGAAAGAACGAAGCGTCAGAGGGAAACAGGGAAAGACAGAAAAGCAAGATTGACAGCAGTTGCAAATAAAGCTATCCTTGTCCCTGATATATCTGACCTCCATTAAATCACACTTCTAAGTCCCTTAGCCAAGATGAGCAGTATCTTTTCTCTGTCTCTAATTAGAAATATTCAGCAGTGGCATTAACAGCAGCTGAAGCTGCAGTAATGGATTCAGTGGAGTTCAGTGCCGCCTGCCTTCATTTCATTAATAGTTTGCGCAGTTCAGACAAAGAGTTTAAGCAAACAGTTTAATTTCAAACGGCATAAATTTCCCTTCCTTTGTCCCGTGTTATCTCTTGCTGGAACTCCAGCAAGTAATTATTCAGGAAATAATGTGAGATTTGTCCACACTAGAGATACAGAGAAAGTTCATTAATAGGAAATGGCCTTCAAAATGAGAAAGCAGGACGTTTCTACTTTATCAGAGAAAGAATGTTGTTACACTTTTATATATTTTTTTCAGATTCTACACTGTTTGAAGCATTTACATATTACATATATAAATGTTAAATATTATTTAACTTGTCTTGATTGCCTTTTTTACTGACTGTTATCCAAAGTGAATACTT